AACTCTTATGAGATGATTTTTCGTAATATTTGGAAATTTAATAATTTTAGAGGTTCTCTTGAAAGAGCTACTTTTTGTAGAATTTAATGCTTTAATACAGTGAACTTCTTCACATAAGCAGAAGTGCCAAGGCATAGAAATAATTTTGGGAGAAATCAGTACTCCAGATTGTTTCCCAAAATCTAGCCCTGGCATATTGCTGCAACCTCAGTTTGTGCTTATTTTCATAAATCCTTACATCAAAAAGCACTGCTACTGTGATTGATTCATCATCCTTTTAGGGACTTGAATTTTATTTGTAAATATCACTCTTTTGGAGGGAAGCAATATTAAATTCTTTAAATAAGGATGCATAAAAATTATTATGAAAGCTATCAATGGGCTTTCTTCTGTAAAATACTGGTATCCGGTTTCCTCGGACTAGTTCTTTAAAATCCATTCTGTTTATAGATTTGCAAACTATTAATATTAAAGAGCTATTCCATGATTACGAAATCCATTTGCAGCAGAATGTTTTTCTTTGGGGGGCAAAAAGAGGTCATTTCACAATCTAGAAAATTGCAGTACATTGTTCTGTCCTATATTCTTAATCTCCAGTTATATAAACAGTTTTATTTATTCTCCAATTCATTTTGCATCTGGATCTCTTGATTAAGATTGATCCTTAGCTACCTTCCCCTTGGTCTCTGCTTTGCACTAATATCTAGCAATCATTTTGTCAAAATGACATTCTTCCTAGCCATCTAGAATGTTGAATTTGCTTTAGCTGATAGGAACAGCTATCGTTTCAAGCTAATGAAAAACTGTCAGTTGGGCATTGAATTGGCATTATTGTATTTCGGAAAATGTGTTTATGGTATGTCAGGTGTGTTCATTTCACAAGTAGCAAGCTTACATGCCTAAATACAAGGTTCACCCAGTCAGGGAGGTGTTTAGACTCTATCTTTTGCAGGAATAGTTCAGGATTTGTTCCATTCTATACAATCCCTTCATTTTACAAATGTAGGAAAGTCAGACTTCAAAGAAGAGTTGGAGGGAGAGTGGAACCTCAGTCTTCAAAACAAGTTATTCTCTCTCTTTTCTAGTAATTCTGAGGCCTTTTTCCTTAGGTCACTTTCAGTGGGGTTTTTTGGGTTTTTTGTGGGTTTGTTTTTTTGGTTGGTTGCTTGGTTTGGTTTTGTTGGTTTTTTTTGTTACATTTATGTCATTCTCCCCCTCCCCTTTTTTTTCATGTATCCTCATTCTATAATAAATAATATTACCATAGGGGGAAAAAGGTTGAAAAAATAATTTAAATTCATATGTTGTAAAGCCCCAGGTGAGAGTATGAGAAATATATTATTTCTCAGAAGCTGAAGAGAGAAAGTGTTGCCAGTATGGATCAGACACAGCACAGTTCAATTTACTTCTTATGGCTAATATAGAGCTTGGTATGTAGCTCAGCTAATGTTCCAAAAATGTATGCAAAAGAGATCTTTATAGTTTGCTATGCTTTTATTCTGTAGGTTCTGATGTTATTAATAAAATATGATAAATTAACTATTTGATATATAGTTTCAAACAGGAAGGAGCTTTTTCGCATATGTCTGAATGAGGCCATGCTGCCTGATACAGTTATGCAAGCTGTAGTTTGCTGGTACACCTGTCTTTCACATGTACTTTTCAAAATTCATTCCGAAGTTTGAGACGCTGAGGTACTCCGAAGGCTGAGGTACATCTGCGTCATCCCTCTTGGTGTCATACTTGTATAAAGGACACAGCATCTTACAGAAAATAGGAAATGTATTTCATTATTTGCCAACCTTGATTCTTTTCGTGCATTCTGAAAGAAGAAAGGTTTTCATAGTTTTTCTGATATTTCCTAAGCATAGGGAGAAATAGGTTGTTTTTTCTTTTTCTGCATGTACAGAAACTTTTTCCCCCTGTTCATATCCATGATCTTAATCTTTTAGATACCTGAAGAGTGTACGAGTATAGCACAAAAGATTAATGTGTGTTTGGAGTTAACTGATGTAACAAGTTACCTTTCTTGTACTTGGCAATGAGTTGGATTTATCGCATGGTTAAAACACAGGAATTTCTTCACTTCTGTCATGTGACCTGAAGTCTGGATTCACACATTTACGTATGACCAACCAGTATTCCTTTTATATAAGAGTAGATCTGAAGCAGGTTCACTTTTCATCAGAATTACACTAATTTTACACCAACATGACTGAAATAAGAATATAGTCAATAGTAATTGGACAGCTTGCTTTTAATTAGATCTTTTCAGTTCTTTCAAGTTGTAACTCTGGAAAGCACTGTGAGAAATAAGAGTTCTCAGACTATGCCAGTTTGTCAAACAAGTTCTTATTAAGTTAACCTGTGCTGGGAGAGAACAAAGAAGTCAGTCTTTTACAGGAGGGCATGAAGTTACACTCTAATTTCTGAAGATTTGGCCATGCCATTTAGTGTGTCACATTTTCAGTTTTCCTGACTGCATTTCCAGCTTCCTTATCAGCATTTCTCACTGTCCTCATATTGCTTTTATTTTCTCAGCTTTTCCACTTCTGAAAGGTAATAAACCTTAAAATATTAATATAGGAGAACAATTGTGCATATATATAGTTGTAAGTACATCTTTTTTTCTGAAGCATTACTCATGTAATGTATTGGTTTAGATTTCTGCGTCTCTCAAGTTTTTATGATACTTTAGTAACGTGCAAAGGAAACTTACAACCACATTGTAATGTTTGCATATTCGCTGTCTTGTGCAAGTGTGGCCAGTAATTTAAGGTAATCAGCATTTCCTTATGTAACATTACAATTTCTTCAGTTAGCACTAGCTTAGCTGTTTTTTACTTTATTTCTTTTCCCCATTCTCTACATTTTGTTTGAACTACATTTTTGGAGGGTTTTAATGAGAACACACATGAGGTTTTTTATTTGGTAGGCTTTTTTTGGTTGGTTTTTTTTTTTTTTGGTTAGTTGGGTTTTTGGTTTGGTTTGGTTAGGTTTGGCTTTTTTAATACTCATAAGTATTTCAGTCTTTCTTCTTCCACTACACTGATTAGTGAGTTTATGTATATATCTGTGTGAAAAAGCATTTAAAAAGGAGCTGTGTATTTACATGAACTCATTGTCTAGACAGGATACAAATTAGATTTCAGTTGTATTTTCTTTCTCGAATTTCTGTTTAGTTGGTTCTGAAAGTGTATATATAAAAAACATCCTTAAGCTCCCTTGAGAAACAGTTGCTCTATTTATCTGAAAATGACCTCTTGCAGATGAGTACAAATGCACAATGAGATGGAAGCATATCAGTGAAGTCTCTGAAACATTTCTTTTGATGGCAAAATCATCTTTACATCTTACTAGTCTTTCAGGCCTGATGGTCCCACAGTAGGGTGAGCTGAGTTCTGGTCCTTTTAGTGAATGATAAGTAAAATTTTTCACTAAGTTCCAGATGCTAGATGCTACTCGAAGTTCTGCTTGTGCGAAGCCACAGGCAGTTTGCTTTCAGAGGGAAGGAAAAACCTGTAGAGTATTTCACATTCAGAGCGATGTGGGAACTAGAACCCTGCATGAGCTTGACAGGGCTAGCCCTTGCAAAAAGCATTATTTGAGTCACAAACTGAGTGCCAGAAGCCATTGAAACTGTGTAAATGCTGATTTATATCACTAAATTTTTGCAGGTTTTATTCGGAATATGAAAATCAATAAACAATAGAGAACAAAGTTCTCCAGTAACCTGTGAAAAACAATTGGATGTGAGTTAATAGTAAATACTTTGGATTATTAACCATGCAGTAAAAATAAATTAAAATTATTCTTACTAGTGTTCCTGGCATAGGCAGACAAGAGGGTATTTAACAAAAATCAATGACTAGCAAATTGAGAACAAATGGAAGTAATCACTATTCCAGCAGTATGTTTTATTGAATTAACTGTTTTTTGTCATTACATAAAATATTTGTATTTATAATATTTGAGATAATTTTATGATCATCAATAGCATTTGCATTTTGTTACCATAATGAGAGTTTTAAAAAATAGTTCCCATATATGATGTAAAACAGTTCTCTGTAGAAGTTACTGAAGTAATTACTCTATCTACTGTTCTTGGTAATGTCTTTTGGTGGCAAGATACTGTTCATCTTGTATTGTCTTTTTTAGCATGTTGGAGCTTATTTCCCAGACTGAGTTAACCTAGTTTATATCCCTTAATCTTTTTTTCCTATCAGCTCCTTACTTTTGTCACTTGGCAAAAGGAAAAAACATCAGTCTTGATACCAGTGAAGCTGTTGACATGAAACTTTGATTTCTGACATGGGGGAATACAGCCTACTGTGTCAACATTATATTCAATACACAACCAATGAAAACTGGACTAAGAAATAAAAAGGGACTTAAGAGCAGCCTTCAGCTGTGGAATTCTGCAAAGGCTTGAGATAAAGGCAACATCTCTAGCTTAGAGAAGATCTATCCACCATAACAGGCTATCTTAGGATGTTGTAGAAACTGTTTCCTGAACATTTTAAATTAGCCATCTCCCAAAGACTGTTTACATATGTATTTAGTCCAGCTTCAAAGTAGGGGGCTAAGTTAAATGATACATCGAAGTCCTCTTTAGCCCTACATTTCTCTTCTCTTTATTTTTGAGTCTTCCTGTTGTTTTTTGCAGAATCATATGTAGGTTTTTCGTTATACCTATTTTAGGAGGAGTAGGTTAATTTTCAAAGTATGGAATTTAAAATTTTAAATAGCTGTCTATCAGTTTTATCTCTATAGTACTGGAACACTTCAAATTTATGCAAAAAGGCAAAAGTGCTATGTATTAATTATCATATTGCTAAGTTACCTTGTAATTCATAAATGCTTGTTGTTTTGCTGTGCATACTGCAAGGTATAAAATGTAGTCAGTAAATCACAAATAACTTTTTAGTCCTCGAGTTACTTGCAGAAGTGAGTGGAGTTGAAGGAGTATAGTAAATATTCTGTTTATTTTGCTTCTACAGAAATGTATCTTCTGCAGACAGAGAGTTAAGAAAATCTCTGGTGCCTGCATTCAGTGTTCATATGGACGCTGCACAGCATCCTTCCATGTTACCTGTGCCCATGCTGCAGGAGTGCTGATGGAACCCGATGACTGGCCATTTGTTGTCTACATGACATGTTTCAGGCACAAGATCAACCACAATGTGGTAAGGAACATGTTTCATTATTTGTTAAAAAATGGAATTTCAGAATTAAAGTGTGTTTCCAGAGAAAATGGAAGAAAGGATCCACACTATGTATTATAATAGTTCTGACTGTCATATTTCCATATATAGCAATCTATTACATCTTAAAAATTTTTTCTTATGCTGTTACCTGGGAGAAGTGATACCTGATATGCCTAACAGGTTTGCACTAAAGTTCTTTTTGAATATATTGTTTTGACAGCCAGAACAAATCCCTGAGTTCTCTTGTTTTGTTAACCTGAAGTGTATTATAAATACCCAGATCATAATATCTTGCAAATACTCACAGATCTTGTGAGATAATGGATATGGTGTATATGTAAGATCTTTGTTCTGCAGCCAAACAGTCTTTTGAAAATACCCAATTATAATTATTCTGTCATCTGGCAAAGTAACACTGGCATGCCATGAAAATTCATGTTATGAGTGCCTTTTTATTTCTATCCTGTGCTGAGGAGGAACCTTTAATTTTAGATGAGACACATGAAGAATTACTTTAATGTCTTTTATTTAAATACATGGTTACTATCTCAGTTAAGAGAGAACTCTTACCATTTATCATGGGCTTTTAAAACTGTATTTTGTTTCCTAGCAAACTAGAAGGTCTTGACATGGTTTTATTAAGGAAAGAGCTTGATAAGTTAGTCAAGTTGCAAATTTTTTTTCTCCTTTATACATTAGAATTGGAAGACATAAACCCAGGTAATGTCTGTATAATATATATTGGTCTTTCTAGTGCTTGTCAGTGAATCCTTGGTCTTAATGACAAGACTACTGAAGAGTAAGATTGTGTTTTGAGTGTAGTAAAATTTAATGCCTCCCAACTAGAGTAATCAGTCTTGAGTGTTCAATCTGCAGGTGGTTCTTCGAAAGGGAGATATGTTGTGTATGCCTATATAAAATTTCCATGGAACTGTTAAATTTTTTGAATATTTTTGTTTTCCAGAATGAATGAACATGTTAAACCAGTACACCTGATATGGTTTTAGTTTCTTCAAACATTTTTCAAGAAAATGAATTTGGCTTGAAAAACAAACAAACGAACTTAAACCTCTGTCTGTACAGGCAACTTAAGGTATTTCCTTGAGTTTTTTTAAAACATTATCATTAGTTCAAAATTACTGGATTAAAATCATGGCCAGTAAAAATAGGGCTGTTCCTCCAAAATGTTTTCTAATATTTGTTTGAGACAAGTCTTTATACTCAAGATAGTGGGAGTTGCATCAGTCCCATTAATTACATGTTTTCTTAGTGATTTTCTTGACCTGTGTCAAAGTGTCAAAGAAAAAAAAGCCACCAGCTATGGGGAAACAGGATTTTAGGTAGCTACTGTTTAAGAGCTTGTGTGAAGGACATTCAAAGTAGCTTGGAATGGGACTACTATATCCTTTCCTGAAACTTAGCACCAACCTTTTTGAAAAAAATTTGGTATTATTACCTTTTTTTCCCCATGGTTCCAATAAAAATCAGGTTTGCAGAAGAGAAAGAAAAATTATGCTTTTGTGTTTTAAGTGGGCCAAAACTCGGAAAGATCAAATGCTTTGTTAAAGAATCTTTCTCTGTAAAATTCTTAACTTACTCCTGAGACAAAGGAGGTTGCCATATGTTTTTACATGCTTGGTTTTATACTCTGTCTTTTGAATAATTAATCTAATCACATGTTTAAGCCTTTGGAAGTTTTTTCACCATTGATTTTCTTGTTATGCTTTTCTTAGCTATTAGCTATTCCTTCAAGCAGAAATGACATTGTTCTTCACCATTAGGTATAGCAATGAACTCTTTTTTTTTGCTGTTGTTTTAGCTTCCTTGCCTAAAAGCATGGATTTGTTTTGATTAAAAGAACTCTTTCATACACAAGAAAATGAGAAAAAGAAGTTGTATGCAACTATTCTAACAGGGAAAAAAAAAACAAACCAAAAAATACCCTTTCAAAGCCACCCAAAAAACTTCCTGAAGGATTCATACAAGATTAGCAAAGACAGCACTGAGGATCAGGGAAAGCTGGCTGGAAACAAGCATATGCTCAGAGCTGATGTTTCATTTGGAAATTGTGAACAGAAGAGGCTATCTAGGCAACCCCAGTTACATTGAAAGACTAATGGTCTTTAGAAAGGGCAAAGACAGGGGGTGCCAAAACCCTGCTGTTGCTGCTTGTGGAGCTATATAAAATTATCTTCTACTATTATCGGCCAGCTCTTAAACTCTCTAGCACACACGGAATGAAGAGGTGCTGTCGAAGGGAAGCTGTAGATCCTTTTCCTGGTGAATACCTGAGTAATGCATTGTTTGCCACTGTCTGCTAACTACTGCCAGCCCCTGAACATTTCAGAGAGACGAAGGCATGCCTTCAGAAGGGCGTGTTATTCAAAAATCATGAACTGACTTATTTTTGAAATGTCATGCATAGTTTCTGTGCCTAAATTGGAGTTCCAAGGAGTAAATGATGACACGAGAGTTATGCTCCTGAATCAAGTAAGTCTCAGACCTTTGAGGATCCCCTCCTGAAAAGGTTTCTAGGTATTTAGATATACATCAGATGCCTATTTCATAATAGTTATTATGAATTCATATAGACACAGTTAATGTATTTAACAAGGGTTTTGTGTACTACCATACAGAAAATGAAGGAGAAAGTAATTTTGCCTCTTATCGTTTTGAAGTTTGCACACAGAAGGGGAGAATAGCTTTTTTTCTTTGTATCTGGTTGTTTTCTGTATTTCTGCCACTATCTTAGTTCATCCTTGGCTTTCACACCATTAAAGAAAATCATACTTTTTAAACCACAGCTTTCTCAATAATCTGGTAACTACCACAGCCGTTTCTTTAATCTGATAGACTCCCTTACATAACAACTGTCCTTTCTGATCAAAAATGACATTCTTAACATCAATAAATTCTTAAGATTTTCTGTCAGGAAATGTTTTCTGGGACATGCAATCAATTACAGAGTGCGCTTGTGAATATTTTTCTCTGAGAAATAAATCTACAATCCTACCAAGATAACATACTAAGAAATAATCTTCTCCTTGAGCTAGAATGCATTTCTTGGTTTTACTATTTTTTTATGAGAAATGGCATTCCTTCTCTGAATATTTTATCATTAAAGGAGTCTGTATTGTCTCTTAAAATATTATAGTTTGCCCTCCATCTTCTCTGAAGAGTTACATCTTCTTTCAGAAAAGATTTAAGCCTTTTAATAGAACTATATCTCCTTGTGTTTCTATAATATAATACTTTTTCTATTATCTCATGTAAATAAATCAATTAATAGTCTTTAGTTTACATCTAATCCATTCCCCTGCCCCCAACAGCTGAGTAGGCTAAAGTCAAGAATTGAAAGGCAAATGTACAGGTATGTTTACATATGTTTCAAGATTGAATAAAACATGCTAATTGATATTTTATCATGCTTTTAATAATACCAGTCAATTGCTATTTATGTAGTTAATTCTTCTACTTAGTCTAACTATAGACAGGTAAAATGAGGAGGAAATAATTTTATTATACATGTAAAGGTTAAATAATTTGTGAGTATGCTCAGAACATTATTTGTAGGTAAACTTGGTAAATGCTTTAGGAACATCATTTGGTTTTACTATCTGAGGTGACCTCAACTAAATCCTCCAAATGCGTATGACAGGCACAGAGCTCTGGCACAGAGATTTAGTGCACTGCCTGTAGAAATGGTACAGAATATTTGTACTTGGTATGCCCTTAGTTTGCAGGAGCAGAGAGGTTTAAAAATTCTAAATCCCATAACTAAGTCCAGGAAAGAGGCTCGACAGTGACAACAGTCATTGCAAAAATGGAAGTCTTCAAGTTTAGGGTGGGTTTTTCCTCTTCCCCTGAAGCATTGACCATACTGCTAATACTTGAAATTTAACAAAAAGAAGTGATGCTGGTTTTGGTTCTCTTCGATATTAGTGATAAAAATCCTATAGCTAGTAGCATTTTCCAGATTTTCATAAGACAATTTCAAACCTCTTATACTAACTGAAGAATGCACTGCTTTTGAAGGTTTGAAAAGCATTGCTAGGACATTTGGTAATTACTTTAGTGTATATAGTGTATAAAGCATTTTCATGTAGTTTATATAAACATATCTAATAAGAAATATTTTATGCTTATATATACCAGTGCATATGCCTTTTGTAGTAGCATCTTACATTAGCAGAAAAGCTCAATTGTTCAGGTATAGCTAAACTCACAATTGCTCACTTCTGCATAAACAAATGAACCTTTGTGAGGTATTGAATAGACAGTCAAGATCAAAAGGAAGAAGTGTGTGTTATTAAGATGAGAAGATAATGATTTTATTCTTCCTGATGAAGAAGGTTGCTTTTAAAGTGGACAGGTCGTGGGGCTACAATAGTTGGGAGCTGAGATGTAACGGTTGTCTGCATAATGTGAGCTTCTTGAGCAATTGCTCACTTACAAGGTTCTGTTCTTATTATATTTATAGAATTCATCAAGCAGTTATTGATGTAGAATTTTTGCATAGTTTAACAACCCTGCCAGTCTTCTGATTGATATAACTAGCCCCAGGGGAAATTACAATTGAGAAATGAAAAAAAAATATTATTACTGATATACTATGTAAATTCGTGAGGACGGGTGCTCAGTGCTGTTTGAAGTTTTAAAGCAAAAGTTCTGCACAGTATGGGTTAAGAAGTTTCTCCAATACACTGCTGTAGAAAGCTCTGGCAAGAACTGGATATGCATTTAGTTATTGCGTCCCATTTGGCAAACTATTAAGCTATTATGTAGAATCATACTGGAATCCAGTACCTCAAAGTCCCATCATTTAAAACCAAAATTCAGGACCATGTTCATCACATCTTACATCTTCAAAAAATTTCTACAAATTATTCTATAAATAAATTTTACAAATATTGCTAATTTTGTATTATTGACCTAATTCAGAATAGTTAGAAGGCATCAGTGGCAAAAATATGCTGTGATTTAGTATTCTTCAGATGTCACTTGTTTTCTAACAAAATGGAGAAACTTTTTATGTGAAAAAAATTAGGGTGATCTTGATTGAATGAAATCAATCAAAAACCGCATTTGCAGTTTTTATGCTGAGTGGTGAACTGTTATCAATCCTATTTTGACCCTGGTAAATTTCCAATGGGTAATCTGCTATTTTAAATTTACCTCCTCTTTTAAATTCTTTCTGTCTTCTAGAGAGCTAAAGCATCTGAGAAGACCATTAGAGTTGGGCAGACAGTCATCACGAAACATAGAAATACACGATACTATAGCTGCAGAGTCATGGGAGTGACGTCTCAGCTTTTCTATGAAATTATGTTTGATGATGGCTCTTTCAGTCTGGATACTTTTCCTGAAGACATTGTAGTAAGTACTTTCTCAGGTACCTATTAGTTCTGGTTTGTTTTCTTGGTTTATGGTTTTGGTTTTTTTGTTTGCTTGGTTGTTGGGGTTTTTTTCCTGAATTTGATTGTTTTTCTTTTTTAGAGATTGGGAACCTCTTGAACTACCTCTTTTGACCTTGAGGAAATACATCTTAATATTCAGTTCATGTTTATTACTTTAACTGCTGAGAATGATTATTTTCTAATGGGCTTACAAAGCTTGGTTGTTCTAATTAGTCTTTGCCATTTGACCAAATGAATCAAAATTAATCTTATAAAATCTTTTAATTAAATAAGAAATATGTATTTAATAAAAGATATGAGAGAGGGAATTCCATATATCCTTCTCTGTCACTAAGAGATAAATTGTAAAAATTCCTTGCAGAATAGAAAACTGCTGTAATGTGAAGAATACCTCTCAAGAATCTGTTCCAACAACTTGTTTACACCTTCTAATGTTTAGTTTGTGAGATTACATTATTCATGATAAAAATCATCAGGGAGAAGATAGTTTATCTATGTGTAGTGTAGTTTATTACATTTTCAAAAAGCATCTGAGATTTTGATTTCCCTTATGCACTTACATAAACTACCATGTTTCTCATAACTAAGAACCACATTGTGCATTTGGCATATATGAACAAAATTTGCAGAGAGTTGGGAAAGATTCTGTTTCCCTCCATGTTTGCAATGAATCCATTGGATGCTAAGCTTTGTGGTGTCCGTCGGGTGCCCTTTGACATCTTTCTCATGATATGACTCTCATCCTTTTTCACTTTCATGATCCTCTGAGTCTTTTTTGGGCTGAGCTGATATTTTTTCATGTATCTTCTGGTAATAATCTCTAGGAGTTAGAACCTCCAGGGAACACTGGTATGCAAAAATGCTGTTTGTTGTTGCAGGACCACTTTTCGCTTAGCCCTGTGTCCTGTTCTGTATGTAAAGGGGAAGAGTCTGGCATATTCGGCGATGCCAAAGAATGCATGCTCTGCAGCTCAAGGGGCACAATTCCTAGGAGCACTCCGTATTTTTCTCCTGTGAAACTCTCTGGGCTCTTCTGTTTTCTGAATGCCTGATGTTTTCCTGGAAGTAGCATTAACTGACAGATACATCGGTGGAAATGCTGCTGTTGTTCTTAAAAGTTTCTTAGTTATTGAAAAGTATGATGCCTTTTGAAAATATGGTATTTGAAAGGGTACATTTCATAACAGGGATTGAGCTGTTTACCTCCCACTGGTCTGAATAGAAGTCAGTCAGTAAATCTCTCTTACATGCCTTTGAAAATTTATCCTTTAATTCACAACACTCCAAAAGGCTCCATTAATGATCAAAGGCATTCTGATTTAGGATGATCAAGATATTAAGTAAATGTGGCTGTATTGTTATTAGAAACCCCTCTTTTGTTAATGCCTGCATCAAGGATCTGGTAAGGTAGAGATGAGAAACTGCTTGCTGCCCTAGTGGGGAAGTCTGATCTGGAGCTAAGAATAAGTGTAATCAGGTCTGGATATGCCTCAGTGCTTCTCAGATAGTGGATGAACAACATATAATTGTTTGATGGAAACACCAAACGAATTTCACATTCCTTAGAGAAATCTTGTTGTGTTTTCATTAGATAATATACCTGCAGCGGTTACTGGAAGGGGAAAAAATGTTTTTTCTTCTTCCCAGACTAAAATTTACTAATCCATGCAATGTGTGTATCAGGTGTTAGTGCCGCTGGGAGGACTTATTCATCAAATCTGGTGTGAAAGCAATGTTGCTGCCTATTGAAGAACTTATTTTTCTAATCTGTTTTCACTTTTCAACTAGCTCACAAAGATAGCAGGAGCTTTCTGCTTTTCCAGTATGTGCTGAATCCCCTACATAATTTCAGCTCAGCTCACGATAGACCAGAATTCCAATGTTCAGACGGAGTGATATATTTTTAAGGAGGGAAACAGGGAACAGGCAAAGTTCAGTCTCGAAGCTTCATGAAACTCTGTTTGCATTCAATAGCAACCAAAGCAGGGTATACATTGTTGTCTTCTCATAGGTATTTCTCTTGGTTTGCATTACCATTTGCTAAATATATCATGTGGGAGGTCTTTAAGTGTAGGTGTTAGCTATAGGCATAGGTATTTAGATTTTTTTATTTCAACCTTATTTATTGCTTGAGTGCTATACCTGATTTCTACCTTGTCAGAATTTCTTAGACTAATCACTCCTCAATTATGGGGTTTAAACCCATGAGTTGGCTTTTTGTTGTGCTAACCAGTCGGTTTTCCTTCAACCCAGCAGGTATAAGAGGGTGCAAAGAAGTATAGGGATAACATTTTTTTTCTGGAAGCAACAGCAGGACAACTTCCCCTTGTAATTCATAGGAAGACTGCAGTGAGGGGGCTGGTGTGTTATATCTTAAAGGAGGTGAGATGACAAGTTTAGCAGTTAGTTTAACAATGCATGCACACAAGTAGAGAGTGCCTATGCTGCAATCTTGAGTAACTGCTACCAGCAGACAGCATGCGTGTGTGCCACTGGCCACTTCTTAAAGTACTAATGCTCCATAACTTGTCACAGAGCCCCTAGCTTAGCTCAAGAGGAGTACTGCCCTGTCCAGCAGGACAGAGGTCAGTACACAGAGTATGCATCAGGAAATTTTTCAGTTCTTTGGCCTGCTCATTTAGAGAGGGTGTCCCACAGTTCCTTTTTTTTTTTCCTCCTGTTGATACCTGATGGACTTATCTCCACTGGCATATCTTAGCAGTTTGCTAGAAATTAATATTCTGGGTATATAGCAAGGAGTTGTATTTGTTTCTGTATATGTTGTGATGGTCAAGATGCCTTAACAGCAAGTATATATACATGCATATGTAAGCTAGAATTAGAGCTATGGATGAAGTTGTTCCCATATCACCTTATTAAAGTGAGAGCAGAACAAGGGAGACTTTGCAGTATACATGGGTGGGGGCAGAAAGATACCACCAAATTATATCAATTGCAAGGAAGAAAAAAGATAATTGCAGAGTGAAGCATGCTTTGAGTCTGTAGGGAGTTCTGATTATGGGAATGCTGAGCACACGTCTCCTGAAGTGGTAAACATCCTTCCAGGCCACTTGCTCCACTAAATGCCGTGGTCTTTCAGTGGCAAATTTACACAGAATTCTTTAATATGGTTTCACCTTGTGGTTATCGAGCAAACTACGTGACAAAAATGAGTGTAATTACTCTTGCTTCCGTAACATAACCACATTGTGTTTTAGTTTACTAGTAAGTGTATAAATGTAGGGGTTATCCATTGAAAAGGTAAAGCTGGTCTGTGGATAGTCATGTCCACAACCCAAAATGGATTTCACTTATTTAAGTCTATAAATTGAATAACATCATAAATAGTATTGTAGGTTATGGAATGCTCCTGTAAATATTCCTTACAAGCAAGAGCATTTAAATGTTGAGGATGTGAGATGTATTTGGAGGAACAACTGATCCTGTGTTCAGGAGTTCATGAGGTTTTTTTGCGGAACCACGTTATAGTAATTTTCTGAGGTCCTGATAAAATCCAAAAAGCATCCTCTTGAAGGAAGTATATATTAGTTCAGGTTAAGACATTCAGATTGCAGCTGCCAAAAGCAGGAATGAGAATTATTTTTCACAGAATCATTTAGGTAAGGAAAGACCTTTAAAGTCGTTGCGTCCTACCATTAACCTAACACTGCCAAAACCGCCACTAAACTATGTCCATAAATGCCACCTCTGCATACCTTTTAAATACAGCCAGGGTTGTTGACTCAACCACTTTCTTGGGCAGCCCATTCCAGTGCTTGATAACCCTTTTGATGAAGAAATTGTCCCTAATCTCTAATATAAACCCTAGTGCAACTTGAGGCCATTTTCTCTCATCTTGTCCCTTGTTACCTGAGAGAAGGAACTGACCCCACCTTGCTTCTCCTTTCAGGTAGTGCTAGAAAGCAATAATATCTCCCCTGCACCTTCTTTTCTCCAGGCTAAACAACCCCAAATCCCTCAGGTGCTCCTTATAGGACTTGTGCTCCAAGTCCTTCATCAGTTTTGTTGCCCTTCTCTGGACTTGCTCCAGCACCTCAATGTCTTTTCTGTAATGAGGGGCCCAAAACTGAACACAGGATTCAAAGTGCAGCCTCACCAGTGCTGAGTATAGGGGAGTGATCCCTGTCCTAGTCCTTCTGGCCGCACTATTTTTGATACAAACCAGGATGCTATTGGCCTTCCCCCAGCCTGTAGCGCTGCCTGGGGTTGTTGTGACCCAAGGGCAGGACCCAGCACTTGCCATTGTTGGACCTCATACCACTGGCCTTGGTTCATTGATCCCCCTACAGAGCCTTCCTACCCTCCAGAAGATCAACACTCCCACCCAACCTGGTGTCTTCTGCACACTGACTAAGGGTGCCCTCGATCCCCTTGTCCAGGTCATTGATAAAGATAATAAACAGAACTGAATATCACTGGTGACCGGCTGCCAGCTGGATGTAACTCCATTCACCATCGCTCTCTGGGCCCAACCATGCAGCCGGTTTTTTAGCCAGTGAACAGTGCACCTGTCCAAGCCATGGGAAGACAATTTCTCCAGGGTGATGTTGTGCAAAACACTGTCAAAAACTTTATTAAAGTACAGGCAGACAACATCCACAGCCTCTCCCTCATCCACTAAATGTGTCACCCTGTCATAGAAGGAGATGAAGTTGCTCAAGCAGGACCTGCCTTTCACAAACCCCTGCTGGCTGGCTCTGATCCCCCTGGGTTTTCCTGTGTGTGCTATGTGATGCTCCATGACCTTCCCTGGCACTGAGGTCAGGTTGACAAGCCTGTAGTTCCCTGGATCCTCCTGGCCCATCTTGTAGATGGTTGTAACATTTTTCAACCTCCGCTCAACTCGGATCTCCCCAGTCTGCCAGGACTTCTGGTAAATGATGAAAAGTGTCTCATCAAGCTCTTCCACCAGCTTCCTCAGTACTCTTAGGTTGATCC